TCCCAGCTGATAAGGGAGGAAATGGGGATTTTGCAGTAAGCTTCCCCTCGATTGGGAGGGAATGGAGATTTTACGGTATCCTTCCCCTGGAGTGGGGTGGGAATGGAGATTTTACAGTATCCTTCCCTGCCACTCCCACCAAGCCACACCCACCAAGCCATGCCACGCCCACCAAGCCACATCCACAGAAATTTTAAACCCACCATTGATGGGCACAGCTATTGAATAGGCCTTTTTTCTTATCTCAGCCTCATGGATCTTTTGCAAGGCAGAATTCAGAATAGGACTTCTCCTGATTGGAGCGGAAGGCAGAATCATGTTTGAAGCAATCTCTGTCATATCCCAGAGCCATACCATACAAGATTGTCCTTGTTTAGTGATCACAATTGGGACCACAATGGTCATTTAGCAAAAAATCACGTGGCTATAGGTTGCTGTGGTGGTTGCAAATGGAAGGATTGGTTTCAAAGCTGGATTTTATTTTTTTTTACACCATCATAACTTAAAATGGTTGCTAAACAAGACAGTTAATAAGTGATAACTACCTGTACAGGGCTATAGAGGTGATAACCAGCACTTTGAATCAGGCCCCAAGCCTTATTGGCAATCAATATAGCAATCTAAGAATAGGGATATACTTTCAAAAGCAATTTTCCCAGCTACCAAATTAGCTGCAGCATTATGAACCAGTTAAAGCTTCCAAGTCATCTTCCAAGTCAGTCTCTGTGGTATACATTGTAGTAGTCCAGTAATACGATGATTAGAGCATTGATAACTGTCAGAAAAACATCCTGCTTAATATAAAGCCACAACTGACACACTAGCTAGAGTTTTATGTAGTCCTGTCTTGGATATAGTTTTTGATGAAACTCACATAGAACTAAATGCTTAACAGACACAGCGGAAAAGAAATGAGAAGAAATGATATATTCAAATTGGCACCCAAGATTCAGCAGGATGTGATCCTTTACCACAGAAACACAGGCTGTTGATTATGAGGCCATTATACTTTCGGGCTATGGGCTACGATCCATAAGGGGCAAAGGAAGAGTTTTACGGAACTCTAAATCAACAAAAATAAAATGAACCTAAATCTCTCCGCAAACACTGAAATGCCAAGCTCTTTAATAAGAGAGCAAAAAGCTGGGAACAAGGAGCTATGTTTCTAGAGGAAAAGAGAAAGAGACATTTAGTCATAGCAAAAACTGCAGCGCGTTACATGGAAATAGGAGCTAAATAAAGCAGAATTACAAAGCTGAATCAATTTAACCCACATCATCACTGGGAGTTTTAAGTAGATATAGATTCATAATGAAAGGCCAAAGTCAAGGCAAGCAAACAGAGTTACATTTATCAGAAAGTGAATCATAAACCAAGCCCTAAGGCCAGATGTTTTTAACATTTGTGGGGCCAGTGAGATGGAAATTATGAACCAGGTTCCTGCTGTCATCTTTTTTAATGACATTGATTATACCCCTTTTAAGATGTTTTCCAGGAAGCGAATATGCATATTATCTTTCTTATCGCCTCTCAGATTAAATATTTGGTATCTCCAGCAGTATGGCATCATTTTTCCTGTCTCGTCTGGTTTTAAAATTTAAGACACTAAGATTTGTATTTCTTTTCTTTTTCTTTTCTTTTCTTTTCTTTTACTTAGGTTCTGTACAGATTGTACAGAACCTAAGCAAAAAAGAAAAAGAGAAAAAAAACACAGATTGTGTTTGTTCTGTGGGTTTGTCTGTTATTCAATATTGTATGCGCTGATCTTTTAATAATAACCTAAAAATAAACTAAATAATCATGTTCTGTCCTTTTGCATGCATGGCAAGGTGGCAAGGTTTCTGGTTCAGCAAGCGTAGAACTTTTTGTTTTGAAGCCAAGTTGTGTAGCTAAAAATGGTTTTGTATTTTTTTTCTCTAAAAATGGCCTTGAAAAACAAAACAAAGAGAAATGTTATATTTTCAACCTTCCCCATACATACACCCACACGCATGTGCACACACACACCCCCACGCAACAAAATATGTGCAGAGATAGTTCAGGGCAGATTGTCAAAGCTCACATAACTTTCAATGTAGTGCTAGCACCAACAAAGCCAATAGTTCCTGAACTGAACATCTACTGCTCTATAAATCTTGATTCCCATTCATTCAGTTCTAAGTATCTCCTGTAACTATTCTCCTGGTATCCTTTTCTTTTTCCATACCCATTTCTTTTCATATCCATTCTGTTATTTTCTTTTGATGAAAACATTATGCAAAGTACAGAAAAAGGAGTAAGCCAAAAAATTTAAGACTTGAAGTGTTATAATAGATTCTTAAAGACCTTATACAGTTCAGACTAATGCCACAGTAAGAATTCCATTTAACTAGCCAGAAGTTTGATTATTAGCAGAGTATATTCAGCACACATGTGCATACACACACATATTCACTATCCATACTGTATCTACCCAACCCTTCCTGTAATTGGCCAAACAAAAGGGAGTGGAACAGGGGTGGGTTCTACTTACTTTTACTACCAGTTCGCAACGGGGCAAAGTGGAAGGTAGATCAGCTTATTTCTCGAGAAGAACGGAGGTTACTTTCAGTTTTGCATTAGAATTTATTCGATTGAATATTTTTTTGCCATCATGTTTTGACAAATTAGATACCCCTGGCTTTGAGCTCTATCCACACTGTCCCACCAGCATCATATATATCTCATATATATCATAGCATCATCTAATGGTTGTTTACATTAACGAACATGTATTCCTTCTTGTTTTGGTGTAACTGTAAAGTCTCTACTTATCAGTTCAGAAATTCAAGACCTGTCATAATGCTGAGTGCTCCACTTCTGAATCTTGAGATGCAGATGTTTATTACTATGGTCTGGTATTTGGTACCAGTCTTCAAGTGTATCACCTGCTGGCCCTTAATAATGGGTATAATAAAAATATGAATGGATGGACAGATGCAATGTGAATAAGGTGAATAAAATAGGAGTCATACAGAGTCAGCTACATGGACTCTAAAGGACCCTCTCTATTCACATTATTGTAAGAAAGAAATGTGCTGGTTTGGAAGAACAATATTTGTTTGGAAGATTACACTAAGTCAGCTAAATTACATCCTGGATAATATATATATATCTTCTGAAGGGGCCTAGTTGTCAAGGACATCCTGGGTAATAGATATATATTTTCTGAAGGGGCCTAGTTGTCAAGGACATCCTGGGTAATAGATATATATTTTCTGAAGGGGCCTAGTTGTCAAGGATGTAAGGACATCCATATGGAACCAAGGAAGACATAAATCTATGCATCAGCAATCACAGAACTAATAAAGGATGTTTAGCTACGATAATCTTATGAACTAGAAAATAATATAGGAATTTAGTAATTAGGAAATGTCAATTATCTTATAATGGATGTATGTTAACCATATATGGAAAACTGCTGTGCCAGCAAAGTCCTTTGTCTTGGATATGTATAAAAGCAGTCCTACCAGGGCTCTTTCTTTGTTCAGATAGCAAGAACCAATCTGCCTCTGAAAATATCTAATTATTTTAAACTGTTTTTAAATTTTGTATGTCCTGTTTTTTACTTTGGCTGTTCACCGCCCTGAGTCCTATTTGGAGAAGGGCGGTATAGAAATTGAAACAAATAAATAAAAAATGAACCTTGCGCAATAAAAACTGTCTCTGGCTGACCCAGGAATGTTGTTTGGTCCTATCATTCCATATCAGATGGACACAGACATACATACAGTGGTATCTGAAAGTGGTTTAGAAAAGTGAAAGCCTATATCAACACAACTGAAACCTCCTCCTTTTTTATGTGTGTCAGATAAATCTGATATGTACATAAAGGTAAAGATAAAGGTTTACCCTATCCAGTCATGTCTGACTCTAGGAGGAAGTGCTCATCTCCATTTTCTAACTGAGGGAGATAGCGATGTCCAAAAACCATTTTTGTGGTCATGTAGCCATTATGACTATATGCCAAGGTGCACAGAATGTTGTTAGCTTCCCAACGAAGTGGTACCTATTTATCTACTTGTGTTTGCATGTTTTCAAACTGCTAGGTGGGCAGGAGCTGGAGCAAGTAATGGGAGCTCATCCCATTGTGCAGTACTTGGGTCTTGAACCTGGACTGACAAGCTCAGCATCTTTAACCGCCGAGCCATCGCACTCCAACGAAATGTACATACATACATACACATATTTACAAATAAAGCATGTAAAAATAAAGATATTACAGAAAGGATATTTTATATATAAATTTTTCGTATATCTTATTTATCACAGGAAAAAAAAAACCTGCAAAGGACAGTTTTATTATAAGATCTTACATCCTGCAAGGATACTTTTAACACCATCAGACAACAACATCTGCCCATCCCAGATCTTTGCAAAGGATTCGATAGGTGGATAAAAAATACCAAATCCAATCTAAACATCTGGCAAACAGTGCGACCAGCCATAAGTTATATGACTGTAACTTTGTTGCTTTTATCCTTACGATTTATATTGATATTGTTTCCTGATTGCTTATTTGTACCCTATGACTATCATTAAGTGTTGTACCTTATGATTCTTGATGAACGTATCTTTTCTTTTATGCACACTTTGAGCATATGCACCAAAGACAAATTCCTTGTGTGTCCAATTACACTTGGCCAATAAAGAATAAAGAAAAAAAGAAAGAAAAGAAAGTTACTAAATTCTGGGTGACTCACAACAATCAAAGAAATTATAATAAATTAAAAAGTAAAATATGGAAGCGCAATGGAGTGAGGAGCCTAACTCTCCTCTTGCCAAAGGCTGGGATGAAAATCCTATTTCAATTTAATGGAAAGCATTTCATGCAATCTAAAAAGAGACTACACATTTTGAGGAACTTTAAACTGTTTTTATATCAAATATATTCATATTATCTCTGCCCTTGCAGGCCTAGGAACTTGTGTCTGTTGACCATGCAAACTGTGAGAATTGTACTTTCTATGGTTTTTTTCTTTCATTTGTACCAGCAGCTATTTTCATGACTTAAAAATCACATGTGATCTGATATCAAAAACATCTAACAATGACTCTGCCCATCAATTCCATCTCGGGACTGCCTTCACACTGCTGCAGACAGCCTTGGCTTGAACATCTGCCTAATTACTCTGTGAATCTGATCTGATGAAAATCTTGCACATTTTACTGGGCAATCCAGGAAGGTCCTATGAGATGTATCAACCAGATACAGATTTCAGGTCTTTAATTTTGAAGGCCAGTGTGTGTGTCGTTGTTTACTTCCTTGTAAATGTTTTATATGCTATTTAAAACAAAAGCTTCATTAAAAAGCGACTGTTAACCTGCTACCTGATTTGGCAATTCTAATACTTACCTACAACACCTTTGATTCTATCAGAGAAACTCTTTTGTTGATGTAATTCTGCTGGGAGCAATTGTTCTGTAACAAGTGATGTCACAGTCACATTCATTGCATAGGCTGGTTCATCATAAATAGCCATCAAGCCAGAGTAGTGAGCTACTTAAAAACAGTTGAACGGTGATTTCCATTTCAGTTCTTTTTTTTCTTTAAAAACCGATCATACCAAATCACATAGGAAAATCCTGTGAGAATTTATACAATGATTGTCGTTGGTTGGCTGCTATTCCTTCTCACTTTGCATCTGATAAACAGAATTCCAAAAGCTAAGGTGAGTACATTTTTAAAATATATTTGGAATTTCACCTAGGTTATTGCTGGATGCAGAAACAAAGGAATTGGCTGGGGCTGTTTTTTTGTGGGATATTACTGAAAATATGCATGGAATTTATATCACAAGCAAAATTATTCATAAAGAAATCTTATATGTAAGAGGAGAAAAGGATGCCAAGCTATTGTAAATATTTCCTCGCTTCATGAATTACTGGATCATTTGAGAGAAGGGTGAAAGGGACAATTTGTTGACTATTTAGTCCTTCTACTGGAGCACATTTTCTATTATATTTTCTCAGGGTTCTTGGGCTCTATAAACGTCCATTTAGATCCATGTACCTCTTGCAACTATCAGTGACTGAAACCATGACACAAAGGCATCAAAAGTGTGGCAATATGCTATATGATGTACATTGCAATGTTGACAACAGTAGGTTGGCTTGCGGGGGTAATATGAAAAAATTAGAAGTCCTGGCCTCCACGATATAGCATGAGGATGCTTGAGAAAAATCTGGTCTGTGGTTATACAGGCCATACTCCATGTTAAGGTGGAAAGGTAACAAATAAAATAATAAATAAAGTAAACATGGGTCCAACTAGATGATCACTGAAGGGCCCTCTTTGTTCTTAATATTGTAAGAGAGAAAATGCTTGCAATTATATCCAGCACATAGGCAGGCACATTCCTTTCTAGTAGGACTCCTACTTCAAGGCCTCTCAGTTGTCACAGATAAGAACAGTCTAGGTGATTTACACTTTGAAGGTCAGAGTAACAGAGATGTCCATATTGTTGTTTCAACAAGAGATAATTTGAAAAATATGCTTCAGTAACTTTTTAGAAGAATTATTATAACTGTTTTGCAAACTCAGTAATTAGGAAATGTCAATTAAAAAAGACAAATGTATATGACCATATGAATTGCTGACTTCACAGAATCCTTTGTTTGAAACTGTATAAAACTGGAGTCTCATGATCATAACTTTGTTCAGATCTTGAGGTATCAATACCTATCTGATCCTTTATTGCAATAAATAATTAAACTGATTCTGCCTGCCCTAAACAGGATGTTTCTTTAATTCCCATCTCCACAACAATGTGGCATAAGTGTAACTAAGACTGGTAACCTAGTCCAGTGGTTCTCAACCTTTTCTCTACCATGGACCTCTTTTAAATACCTTTTGTGGCCATGGACCAAGACCACGGACGTCCATGTCTTAACACAAGATTTAAATCCTACTGTTTCTTCAAGCCTTCATGGACCCCTTGTGATGATATTGTGGTCCCCCTGGGGTCCGTGGACCACAGGTTGAGAACCATTGACCTAGTCTATACCTTTGCTACCTTCCTAAAAAGCATTATTAGAAAGTTGCAAGGTGATGGTCAGTACAGTTTGGTATCTCTGAACCTGTCTGGTGATGGTCAATGTTTGTGGAAGATTACAGTTTGAAATATAAAAAAACAAGTCTATCCAAAATAATACAAATTAAAAAATGAAATTAAAGAAACAAAAAAAGACATATCAGTGAAATTATAGAAAAGAGGAAAAGTATAATATAGATCTGAATGAAGGTGCTCTGATTTAGCAGAGAGGAGTTGATGAATATATGCAGGAAGTTAAGATATAGTTTAATTAGAATGAAAGGGCTAAAATGTCATATATATGAAATGGTGTCACCTGGGTTGTTATAGATACATATGAATGTAGCAATCCATAGACTGATGATAGTTGCATTTTATGTAACAGCAATGGAAATACCTTAAAGTAATTTTGAGGAAAAATGTATGTAGTGTTCAGGAGAAAGAAGAAATTCTGATAATTGACATGAATGGATTGGCAGGAATGAGATAAGAATGCAGAAAAAATGGGCCATTCAAGAGCTAAGAAGGCAAGTTCTTTTGTGAATATCTGTTGGAAGGAAAACTTATAGGAGAACAAATAAAAGATTTAGCAAATCATTCAATACTGACAGTGTGCAACATAAAACAACAACAAAAGAATTAAAAACAATTAAAACAATGCAAAATAAATGCTTCTAATCTAATTGGGAATGTGAATTTACATATACTTTTGTATAAAACTGATATTGTAAGAATCTGAATGATTTGCAAATATTAAAGACTGTATGATGAGTATAGATCAAATAATTAATAAATCAGGACGGGTTTTGACTGGCTAGGTGGCTCAGTGGCTAAGACACTGAGCTTGTTAATCAGAAAGGTCAGCAGTTCGGCGGTTCGAATCCCTAGTATAGGTCTCCTGCATGAACAGGGGGTTGGACTAGATAACCTCCAAGGTCCCTTCCAACTCTGTTACTGTTACAGTGTTTGACAGAGATAATGGCATGAACAATTGCAGGTTATATATAGATCACTAAAAACTAAAGCATTGTTCTTTAAAGAGAGGTAATGGCCAGATTTATTATGAAATAAGATACCTAAATTTCTCTAGGTTTGCTAAGCCATAAAGCAGATTAGATGTAGTGTATAATTTATCTCTCCTACATTTTGGAATTGCTTCTTAATAAAGAATAAAATGGCCCATTCAAGGTAAACACAAAGTGTACCTGAACATTCATGTCTTTATGCTGTTATGTTACTTTTTCACAGCAAATTTTATTGTCTTAACTCTTAAAAGAATGAATGGAAGATGAGGACAACTGTCCATCTTCTGCTCTGTGACTGTCTCCAGCCCCTTCCCCTTCCTTCCAAACCTTGTTAGAGGATCAGGAAATGCCTCTGAATAAGTAGAACATGCTAGCTCTATAAAGAAAGGGTGAATAAGACCCGGTTTATCAGAGACATTGTCTTAGCAATTGTGATGGAGGTGTTTTTGCAAATGTCCATGCATACTTAGAAAAGGTAGGGAAGTCCTCCTCAAAGCAGGCATGCTGATCTTCAGAGGAATGGAGCATTTTGATTCTTCAAATAGTGGTTTGGATATACATGGAGGCATGTCTGTGTTTGGGTTCTTTTCAAACACCCTTTTAAGTGGCTGAGTCTAAGCTTTTGCTTAGCTGTGTTGTATGAAAAAAGAAAATTGTTTTTGAATCTTCCCAAAATGAGCAGCGAGAAGTACAGTAAGATAAGTAAGCTGAGTGTTGGAAATTGTTATTATTTCTGAGCTGAATATTATGAGATTAGAAGAGATTTAAAGGAAACACAAATATATTAAAAGTACTTATTTACAAGCATGGAACTGGAACAAAACAGTAAAAAAAAAAAGTCCACTAAAGGCTGGCCATTAACCTTTGGTAAAAGCAATCATCAAGATCATCCATGGCTCCATCTTCTGATCCAGAAAAAGAGGTCTGGCTGTCATTAGGTGTTTCATGAGAAAAATATATGAGGCACCTAATATTATTTAATCAAAGATTAAATTAATGGATGGAGAGAAGAAAATATATATCTGAAATTCATTAAAAAGCATGATGCATGAGCAAATATCTATAGACTTGGCCTGGGTTATCTCAAGACATATATTTCCCATTTATCTGCTGTTTTTTTGTTTCTGCAAAAAAGAAAAAGTCTCTTTTGTTGAGGGTAAAGTATAACATTGTGTCTATTAACTTTAGTCTGCTATGCCGTTTCTTTAAAAGGCGATTCACAGAAATTGTTTATCTATCAATGCAGAAGAAAGAAAAAGAAAAGAGCTCAACTTTTTAATGCCTTGTTAAAAGACATCTGGGGAAGAAATATGAACATGTGTAAGGGTGTCACAGAGAAGGCGGCTAAGATTTGTTATCTATCGTTCCCAAATGTAGGACTCAGAATAAATGGTTTCAAGTTGCAGGAAGGGAGGTTTCTAACTGTAAGAACAGTTCAGCAGTGCAACTAATTGCCCGTAGAAATGGTGAACATGTTCAAGCTGATGCTGGATAGCCATTGGTCAGGAGCTAAGCTTGATGGCCAAATGACCCTTTGCAATCCCAGGTTTCTCACAATGATTCCAAAAGAGAAGTATGGGCACTGCATTTATGAGAGTGTAGACAAGATATAGAGGCCTGGATTTAAATTTTGTTTTAATTCAGAATTGGGAGATAGTACCTACTCTTCTCCAAAATTTAAAATTAAGAATCACCAGCATTTTATGATAGGCTGATATTGCATGAAATATTATGTAACCTTTTCAGTTTAATTTGTTTTTTTTTTTTTAAATGTTTTTGGTATCTGTGGTATCATGAAAAATTGTGGTGCATATTGGCTGAAAAAAGGGCTGACCTCTGGTTTCAGGATGCTCTTGTTTCAGAATAAGGGAGAGACTTGCTGGTTCTTTCTCTCTGCAGCTTTTACAACGTTCTTCATAGCTTTAGACATACAACGTATCTTACTAAATGTTTAGTTTTGCTTTTACAAAACAATGTTGGTAACCTGCACATTTGTAAGGACATTAAACTTGAAAGTATGTGAATGATGCTTGGGGAGATTTTAGAGATAGCTTCCAAAGATCAAGGATAGTTTTCATTGCCTTGTACAGGATTTTTAAAAACCGTCTTATTCCTGGAAATAAACAATGCAAAGAGGGGGGGGGGAAAGCACATGATGGAGATAATGATTCAATGCAACAATGTTAAATAATTTCATGCAGACTTTAGATTTAGGTTTCAATAGGATAGAATCAGTGGTGAAATCCACTTACCTTCACTACCAGTTCAGGAACGGGAGTGTGGTGGAGTGCGCGCACACTATGCGCGCATGTGCCTCTTCTGTGCATGCACAGATGGTAAAAAACCAGGACATAATGATGTCCTGGCGGGTGGGTGGAGCCTCCCGCCACTGGCGCTACCGGTTTGGCGAGCCGGATAGAATCGGGGGGGGGATTTCACCGCTGGATAGAATTAAATATAACTATAGTTGCTTAGTAAGCAGGCAACAAAAAGAATAGCTAAAGGTTTATACCTTCCCAATTTAATCTCCAGTTGGGATCATGGCCTCTTGCCCTAAGTTAAACTTCTTAGTTTCGTTCCTTTTCTGTATGAACACTGATAAAACAATATATGTTGTTTCTTTCTTCAAATGCTTGAGTGATATCTTCTGTGTTTGGTTGCAGGGGGAACCAGCAAAGAACGAAGGTGAAAACAAGCCTTAATTGGCAGACTCCCTTAGACAAACATCGCCTAGGACAGAATTTCCTCCTATTTTAAGAACGATGGTCCAGTTTGGAAGCGCAGTTTAAGGCACCACCAAGAAAGGAGATTTCCTGCTCATGAACTAATAGTTAATGAAGTACTGAAGACAATGAAGCCTTTTGTTCCTGTTGTTGGTAACTCATAAAACCCTTGCGAGCATCATGTTATATGTTCATGACCTGGACTTTTCACATACATTACTGGGCTCCATTAAGCACAGAGCAGAGCGCATTTCAAGTGTTCTGTATAACAGTATATTTGGAATAGATTCATTTTACGCTTATCACTTAGAATGTCTGAGCGCTGATGCAACTTTTGGTGGATGGGTACTTTAAAAATTGCTTACTAGCTGCAGTGGTAAAAATTCACATAACATTTAAAAATATATCATTTGTGGGGACATCCTCACATAAATATTAATATCAACACAACCAGGTATTTTTGGTAGAAGTATTTATTTTAAAAAATTAAATACGATTTTAAATTACAAAATTATAACTAGGAAAGCCAGGAATAAAAGAGCAAGTGATGCAAGAAAACTGCAATGAGGAATAACTATTTAAACAGCTCAAAATTGAAAATATTTGGACTGCAATCCTATCTTTTCTAAGCACGAGTCAAACTTATGGAATTCCACTGGAATGAATTCCAGATTAGTAATGCAGTCTAGTGTATACTATAGTATAGTACTTTACTGTATAGTATAGTACAATACTATAGTATAGCAACTTGGATTGCAGGCTAAGATGTTTTAAATGCCTCAGTGAATTAAAAATAAATAAAACTTATGGTACTTTCCCTTTCTCACAGTTGTTATGTACATGTGTCTATATCTCTGTATAAATAGATAACCTAATCTCCATTTTCCTCTTCATCAATGTTGGACAACACATTAAAGCGCACCAGAGCAATAATTATCACAGTTTTTGCAATATATTCACCTCATATTTTTTTCTGCTTTTGAGATCTTATTGTAACTCTTATAAAAAAATTGACGGTGGAGAAAGATAATAAGATTCATTACTGTTTATAACTTATAAACAGTTATAAAAATATGTTTTTATGGATGTATCTGAGCATAAGAATTAAATGTCCTAATTTATAATTTCTTGAGCAAATTTAGGGAAAAATAAATAAAGTCAACGTAATTCATGATGAATTTAAATAATACTAACAACATGTTCTTGACACAAAACCCACTTCAGAATAGGAACAAAATAATGTAATTTACTTCTTTTTCAGATTTTAGCATTGTTGCTATATTTCTATCTGAATGCTGAAAGAAACTTCAGGCACATTATTTCATAGGTATTAACAAATGTTACTAATGTACAATAAAAACCAGGCTTATAAAAGCAAATGTAGTTGTATAGGAATTGCTACTAGTCAGCCTATGCCCATTCAGGCCGATAACCATAAACTCTTTCCCTGGAACAGAGGTATTTTTAATGTCAGGTCTGTATTAATAATAAATCCACATAATTTGGGGGCTTGGGCTAAACCTTTCTCTCTCTCTCTCTCTCTCTCTCTCTCTCTCTCTCCCCCCCTCCCTCCTCCCCTCCGTCTCCATCTCTCTCTCCCTCTCTCTCTTTTTGATCTTGGACTGGAATTATTAGAGCAGACTTCTCAAAGAAGGAAGAATAAGAGAGTGGTCCCTAGAAAGATTCAATGCTTCTTTATTTAGAAAGGAAGGCTTTAGAAAATTGGGCATCATCTAAATTCAAACTGGGTAATCTAGTACAGAGGTCTCCAACCTTGGCAACTTTACGACTTGTGAACTTCAATTCCCAGAATTCAGGGAGTTGAAGTCCACGAGTTGTAAAGTTGCCAAGGTTGGAGATCCCTGGTCTAGTAGCTATGGTTTGTGCTCCTCCGTTGCCCCCTGCAACTTAATTCAATAAATTGTGCAACTTAATTCAATAAATAAAAAATTAGACAGTGGACCAAATCTCTTCTGCAGCTCTTTGAGCTACCCTCACTTCTCTCAAGAATTATGACAACTCCTAAATAATGTGAGTTAAACTATATGGGATTGCCTGGAGGGAAATGTAGGCAGGGACAATTACTTTAAATCATGTGGTAAGATGTTACTCCATTTAGTTGCCATTGAAGTCCTATTTGACAAATCACATTGTTAAAAGATCCCCTCCAGTAATATTTGTAGGTAAGGTCAAAATAAGTCAATAGAATAGAGATACGAAGGAGGATAAAAAATTAAAAGGACATATTATCAGATAAAGTTTGATACAAGTATGACATGCTACCAAAAGAAGAGTAAGTCCAGTGATGTCACCCCTATCTTCTCCTTCAAATGCTTTTCGTGTTGGAGATAATTACAGCAAGAAAAAAAGTAATTACTTACCAGATATGGTTACCTCGAATTCTATGCACAAATTAAAAACACAGCAAGAACTTCTGAGGCACAAGTTGGAATACGCCATGGTTGATATATTTTCAAATAGCCAGAAGGATAAAATCAGAGCTCAAGAAGGAAGGAGGAACATCCAAATAAAAAACAGAATTTGAAACACTCAAATAAAATCAACACCTTATATTGCGGCACATGTACAGGCTTTTAGATGTAATACAGAGATAGAACAAGCAAAAGTATGAAGGCTATTGCTTAACGCATTGTAAGCTGCCCTGAGTCTCCGGAGAAGGGCGGCATATAAATCAAAATTAAAAAAAAAACATTAAAAAATTATGACAAAATGGATGTAAAATTTTAAAGAAACAGTTATAATACATCAATGAGAAAAATTATGGACTAAATCTATAAAATTTACACCAAATTATAACTTAAAGGAAAATTGGTCCAAAATATTTTATAGATGTTATATAACTCCATTAATATTATCTAAGATAGCAAATCACATGGTAATAACTGTTGAAAATGCCATGAAACAGAAGGAACATTTTATTATATGAAACAGTCATGAAAAAACCCTCAAAAATAGTTGGAAAAAATATAATGCCAAAAAATTTGAATTTAAATTTGAAATGAAACCACAACTTTTCCTACTAGGTGTAATCTCAGAAAAAATCAACAGAAATATAATTTAATGAGATACATACTCCTTTTGCAAAAATAAGCTTTGGTCAACCTGGAAGAAAGACACAGTCCAAACCATATCTTAACTGGGAACTTTTAACTTGGAGGATACACAATAATGGCAAGACCAACAGTATATATTCACAATACAAGTTTAACTAAATTTAAACAAAAATGTTTCTCATACGTGCAACACATCATGCAGCATGGTGAATATAACCAGTTACTTACTGTCTAGCTTCTAAGGGGGCCTGAATATCCACAAATATTGCAAATTAGTAAATATATAAAAGTGGGGAAATTAAACCATCATTTTTATTATTTTCCATTTTCCTTTTTAAAAAAAGTTCAAAGAATTTTCACTTTGCTTGTCTGTCTGTCTGTCTGTCTGTCACCTTGGGCGAGTCACTTTCTCTCAGCCCTAGGAAGCAGGCAAGGGCAAACTATTTCTGAAAAAAACGTGGCAAGAAAACTGCAGGTGACATACCCAGCCAGTCACCAGGAGACAAACTGGCTCATAGGCACCCCTCCCCAAAAGCAACAATACAATTTTTCATTCATTCATTCATTCATTCATTCATTCATTCATTCATTCATTCATTAATTTTTGTTCATTCATTCATATTCCTCCTTTATTATTTTTATAAATAACTCAAGGCAACAAACACATTCTATACTCCCTCTTCAGTGAGATGAGTTGGGCTGAGAAAAAAAGTGACTGGCCCAAAATTACCCACCTGCCTTTCATGCCTAAAGTAGGACTAGAACTCATACTTCTAGCTTCTAGAGTAATAAATTAATTAATTAGCTGAAGCTTGACAGCACTGACATATAATCAATACTTTGATGTGAGTTGCAACAGTTGTTTTTTTGTGTGTAATATTTAACTTTGGATGAAAAAGCGAAATAATGGTATGCTTGTAGTTAATACTGACAGAATGTTTTATTTCCTTTCACTATATTCTAAGCTACCTAAGTAAAAAAAGTTAATTTTTAATCAGATCATATAAACAACAAATTAAAATTCAAGATGGTGGTTGCACCTATGTGATCAAAGTCCCATCCATTTGTATATGCATAGGGTGTCAACACATGTACAAAGGAGGTAAGGTTTTATTTGTATGGTTATAACTACCTCCTTGACTTTTGAGTATCCCCACTGCTGGGAAATGGTTCCTAAGAGCTCCAAAGAGAGGAGAGTAAGATAAGTATTAGCTATACAAGCTGCCTGCCTTCTGCTTGCATATCTATTGCATATCAATTGCCATGCAATTAGCTTACAAATAATACAATAAATATTTTCTTTTTCTGTTTATGTTTTATATTACAAAGCATAATCAGAGGGGCATCTTATTTTAACCATGGTTAGCATCTCATTTGCACATTGCAGAACATCCAATTGTTAAGTGTCCACACCCAGATCTGAAGGCAGGAAAAGTTTCAAAAGTCTATTAGGTTGCTCCCAGCAAGAACTCACCAATATTTGAGAAACATTCCTACTTTTCCTTTAGTTATTGACATGATTAATTAGCCCTCTTATTTTCAATCACATTTACAATCTACAGCAGTGATGGCTAACCTTTTTGCTGTTGCATGCCAAAAGCGGGGGGAGCGCGGGGGGGGTCGCACGCATGCTTGCCCACACCCATAATTCAATGCCCCCCCCCCCCGCCCCTGTGCTCCCCCCGCTTTTGGCACGCGACAACAAAAACGTTACCGGTGGGCCCAGTAGGCCTGTTTTTTGCTCTCCCCAGGCTCCAGAGGCTTTCTTGGAGCCTGGTGAGGGCAAAACGGTCTCCCCCCCCCGAGCCCTCCGGAGGCCGGAAACAGTCGGTTTCCCAATTTCCGGTGGGCCCGGAAGGCCTGAAAATCAGCTGGCCGGCGCGTGCATGTGCGCTGGAGTTGAGCTAGGGCAAAGCTCGCGTGCCCACAGATATGGCTCCACGTGCCATCTGTGGCACGCGTGCCATAGGTTCACCATCATGGATCTATAGCCTTTCCACCCCAAGGCAGTTGAATGATAGAAAGCAGCAGCAATATCACTGGCTTTAGGACAACTGAGTTTGCCTCACTAGGGCCATTTTTTCAGATAGGTTCTACTCTCATTGCT